TACTGACGAGAGGGACCGGATGAGTGTTGTGCCCTTGAAGTGCTCTTACTCTGTTGTACACCCTATGCGTATCAGTATAGGAGTTAACTGACGAGAGGAAGGACTGCCAGCTCTGCCTCTTTGATTCCCGTCGGATACGCCTACCATTTGCTTTTGCACGCTTGAAGTTCATCAGGTTGTCAGCTGTCGGGTACCTGCGAAATTTAGACCAAACTTTGTTTTGGTTCTCGCGAGCTTTTTTGCACTCCGCATTCCACCAGGGCCGTCGTTTGTTTCGCGTCTTGTCAGATGTCTGTGGGATCGATCGCTCTGCGGCCTGTATGATATGAAGTACGACCAATGCTTCACAGTCATCAATGTCTAGGTTTTCAATAGAAGAACGCGACAGTTCTGTAAGTTCTCGGAATTTTGTCCAGTCAGCATCCTGTTCTCTAAACCTGAATACATTTGTAGTCGTCTTACTTGTACTTCCTGTGTGTTTTAGGCAGACAGGAAAATGATCACTTCCATAGAGGTTATGAATAACAGACCAATCTATGGTTGCCATGAGTGAAGGAGAGCCGATAGCAAGATCTATGGCTGTGTATGAGTTGCACGCTGCGCTAAAGTACGTTGGTTCTTTTTTGTTAAATATACAGGAGCCGGAGTACAAGAGGAAGTTTTCGATTAAGGAGCCTCGAGAATCTGTTCTTTTGCATCCCCATAGGGGGTTGTGCGCATTAAAATCTCCAACCAAGAGGAATGGATGCGGGAGCTGGTCGACTAGAGTTTCAAACTCTTTAGTAGACAGGCGGTAATCTGGAGGGATATATAATGAGCACACAGTTGTCATTCGTCCAAAGATAAGGGTTCGTATTGCCACTGCCTCTAAGTCAGTGACCAGAGGGAGGTTTTGGGACGGTAGTGCTTTCTGCACCACGATAGCGACACCGCCGGATGAATGGGCAGTGCCATGCCTGTCCTTTCGGTATACCGCATATCTTCTTCGAAAGTTAGTGTGTGTTGAGTTTAAGTGTGTCTCCTGCAGGCAAAGTATGTTAGGTTGGTGTTGCGCAAGTATTTCATAAATGTCATCCAGGTTCTTCAGTAGACCTCGGCCGTTCCAGTAGATGATACTCTCAGCAGCCACTTTTGAGAAAGAAGAAAGGTAGGAGGGTTATTCAGACTTTGCCGCGTTTGTCAGGTGCCTGGACTGGAGGGTGTTTCTTCCCTTTGAGGCGTTCTGTTGAGCTCTGCTTCAATAGGGTGGATTCCGTGAGCATCGGAGACGCTGACGACGCCGGTGTCACATCCATTGCCCCCTGTGAACACTCGGAGGCTGACGGAGGTTTCTTAAGAGGGACAGGTGCCCTCTCAGTTGTCTGCGTCGTCCCCGAGGTCTCACGGAGGTTGACCTGCGGGGTTTGAATTGTCTCTTTTGTCTCCAAGGTCTGATGGAGGTGGATCTGCGAGACTTCGAACGTTGGTGCAGCCTGCGGCTGCTTGGTTGGGGGCCGAGATGTGCACGCATCAGCAAAGCTGTACTGCGTGCCCACGGTTACTAGACGCCGCCCAGCCCCCCGGCGCGCTGCGTCAGCGTACGTTCTTCCAGAGAAGAGCGACACCTTCTTTCGGGCTTCAGAGAATGTGATGTTTTCCGTTACTTTTATCTGGATGATTTCCTTTTCCTTCTTGAAAATTTCACATGTCCGCGAGTATGCTGCGTGCGGCCCGTGACAGTTAGGGCACTCTGTTTGCGTGTAAGTACAGCTCTCGGTAGGGTGCTCATGATCACCACATTTTGCACATGTTTGTTTTCTGCGACAGGTGTTTGACCCATGTTCGTATTTCTGGCATTTGTAGCACCTTCTAGGATTGGGTATGTAGGGGCGGACTTTGCAGTGATGGAATGCAGCTTTCACGGATTCTGGCAGGATGGAGCGGTTAAATGTTAGTACTATATGAGGCGTCACCACTTCTTCATTGTTTCGCCTGATGGTTATCCGCCAGATGGCGACTACGCCTTGCTCTCGAAAGCCTTCAAGGAGGTCAGCTTCAGTTTCTCGCATCAGATCACGTTGTGAAATGACGCCTTGAACAGTGTTAAGACTGCGGTGGGGGGTGATAGGCACGTCCAGGTGGGCGAACTGCTTCTGTTTAAGGAGAGTGTTTGCATGCTGTTTCTGGCTTACTTCAACAAGAAGATCACCGGATGACAGTTTCTTTGCGTCATACTTTTTGCCTATTAGGTTAGCAAGGGTTTTAGCTATCAGGAAAACCGACAGTCGTGCAACAGAGACGTTATCTGCCAGAGAGTGTATGACTAGAAATCGTGGGAAGTGGTCACAATCACTTCCGGTTCGTTTGGAGATTTCATCGGTGCGGTTCCTTTTCAGGGACCGATCATTGAGAGGGGGGAAAGATTTTGCCATGTGGTGCATTTCATGTTCGGCGGCGATGGTGACCACCCACCAACGAGCCCAACAAGGGGACGCTACAAGGTAGAACACTTGAAGGCGCTAGTCATACATCGCCGCTATAACCAGATATAACTACCCAAGGTTGGGTAACTACACAGGGTTAACCCTAGCCGCCTGGAAGTTTGGAAGTAAACGGAAGAGACTAGAAGACAGGATAGATAAAAAGTGAGAGATAAAGACGAAGATGTAGGGAGAGAGAGATAGGAAAAGGCGACTGCCGATTTCCCCTGGGTGGGTCAGCCCAGGGGTGCCGTCTACGTGAAGCCGGGGCCAAAGGGGTGTGTTGCCTCTGCCGGGGGGCCTTAAAGGTCCAATCACCCAGCATTGGCTCAACCCCCAGGATCCCCTTTTCCCCGGACACGGCAAAGCCACGCACGGCTAGGCGTGGGAGGGAGTAGAAACTCCCCCGTTAGCTCGGGACCGAACGCCTGTTTGCGCAGGCGCCCCTGCGGGATTCTGTGATGGAGGCACAACTTGTAACGTTTCCTTTTTGGTGAGTTACCATGGCCATCATGTTCTTTGCATTTGTATGATATGGTGCAGCATCTCTAAATCTCGTCGTATTCAAATATTTTGTCTTTTTATCTATGTAAGTGGCTTTTGCTTTACGTCTTCCAGCATGTGGAACTGGGTCCATGTTCTTCAGTAGGGGATATATTTTGTACCAGGCTCTGACTGAGTACGACAATTCCTTAGCTCTTCCATGTGCCTATACTTCTTCACCGAGGCCGATCCTCTGAAGAAGATCACTGCCGGGGTTGGCGTCTGTAGCAGGTGGTTAATCTGGGTGGTTACTTGCGCTTCAGCCAACTTATCAAATTTATTGTGAAGTCCGAGCGCTAATGGCTTTGCAGTTGAAGTGCTTTGTGGTAGTCGCAGGGCCGCTTTATACGACATTCTTATTTTGTCTGCTTTTTCTTTCTCCTTTCTATTCATGGTGTGGTAAGGTAGCGAGTATGTTAGTCTGCTGATGACTTTACCAAACGAAGCGCGTCTTGCTCTTTTAATCCAGCACGATTGTTCGCTATTCAAACTATCATACGAACAATTTGTTGAGCTGTTAATTTAAGCATATTCAGTATGTGAAGACATTGCTGATTGGACTGTAGCCATATCTCTAGGACTCCAACATCAAGGGTAGCTTGGGAGAGAAAGAAAAGCGGCTCCAACTAGCAGCTAGAACAATGTCAGCGCAAGCACACTAAAGAAAGAGGACTTCAGTACTCAGCAGACAAATGGGAACTGATTCGGTTCTCCAAAAGTTAAAAAAAACAAAGAACAGAGCCGAGCCTCCGCCTTGAGGTATCGCTAAAGACAGCAATATTATTCCAGCACTATAAAGTGTTAAAACAAATTACCCTATATGCTGGTGTGATGTTTGTTGCGTTTCTGGATATCTAATTTTATAACAAAGCAACGAACATTACACAACTTCTCTTACAACTTCTCTTATCTCTATGCTAAGGCATCCATAAAAACCACACTGTGGTTTTAAAACGTAAATATTTTAAGTATTATCAGATAAAATATGGGCTATTGCCCAACGAAAATTATGGTGATCGGTGATGGTGGCCACATATTCAATTTCATTTCAATTCAATTTTAGTTCATCCCAAGGATGAGGAAACAAAAATAAGTGTTTCGCATTTGTGTAGGCCTGACTTTTTTCGAGTGCTTTGTCCTCTCTTCTGGGAAGGCTGACCAAACACGCATTGGCACAAACATCTTTAAAAGAGGCAAAATAAGCTAGTTAAGAGTTAATGTCAGAATTTTTCAGTCGTGCTACTAACTAAGCTTGTTGGTGCAATATAGAAGAAACGTTGTTTTAATCCTATTAACAATTGTTTCACCCGATGAGCCAATCATTTAATGCAAAACGCATCTTAAAGCACGAACGGCATGCCAACTTCTTCAATGCAATGTCGGGGGAACTACACTTCGCAGCCGTTCATTCAAAACAGTGCAGCAGACATTATATGGGGTGATGATTTGTAATAAATGATACTCGTCACCGGCTTTGCTTGTGTTATTTCAAAAATTAGTGCTCACTCACTTCTGCATAAAGAATGTACAGAGAGAGAGAGAGAGAGAAACTGACCAAAAGAAAGGTAGAGGAATCAATACACTATAGTATACATCCAGCTTGCTATACTACACGTTGGAAGAGGGGAATAAGGGAGTAAAAGAGATACATTATTTGCGCTAATGATGTGGGTGGCCTGCAAGTGTGCAAGCGAGGTACTTTCAAGCATCGTGCATTATTTAGGGAACGATCATTTCTGTTTGGCGAGAAGACGGCGGAGAGGACCTCACTTAGATTGCATTGTGAAAACGTAAAAAGCGGAAAAATGTGGTGGGATATGTTGCAACTGACATAATTGTATGCCACACACTCCAACGTTTTTCCTTTTCGCTGCAGCCTGTTGTCGACTACTTTTTCAGGATGATAAGTGGCACGAGTATGTGTTGTGTGCCGAGTATAAGGGATACATTAATTGAAGAGGCATGGAAATTTAGTGTTGGTTTCTGCACTCGTTTCAGTTTATGGATACAAACTTTACAATTTGGACGTACAATACTACGAAAACAACTAAGTACACTTGCTTTAAGGATGACGTGTGCAACATAACAAACGATGTCGTGTACTTCAACAGATCCTACTATTACGAAAAATGGTGAGTATCACTAACGAAGTGCAACGAAAACTTAAATTTTACTAACATTTTTTTTCTATCATACAGGAAAACTTATCCAATGCAAGCAAACTTTGATGCAAGAGACAAAAGTTTAATGACTGTGGGCCCCATAGGTATGTTGCAAATATTTACAAGTTTGAGCGTGGACGGTACTTCACGCTTAAACGCTGACCTCTTATATTCTTGCATGAAAAGTGCAGAGCCTTAGAAGAATCCGCTATATCATTGTCCTACTAGAAACAGACGCCTAGTGGGAGACCTATGGCGCAAAACTTTCTCTTATCAGTGGGTCTCGTTTTTCCACTACCAATCTTCATGGTTAATCTCAAGAGAAGTAGAACTTATTTTTTATGAAGATTTCTGAATATCTTACAAAAAATGCTTTACCATAACTGAAAGCAAGTATATTAATGCAATAAGTGTCAGTAACACGAGTCAAGACAAAATTGATTAGCTCCAAATAGTTCCGTTTTCATAGTTTTTTATAGTTTCATTATTATGTGGGGTTTGACGTCCCAAAACCACCATATGATTATGAGAGACGCCGTAGTGGACGGCTTCGGAAATTTCAACCACCTGGGGTTCCTTAACGTCCACACAAATCTGAGCACACAGGCCCACAACATTTCCGCCCCCGTCGGAAGTGCAGCCGCAGCAGCCGGGATTCGATTTCACGACCTGCGGGTCAGCAGCGGAGTACCTTAGTCACTAAACCACCGTAGCGGGACAGTTTTTATAGTTGATACTTCCATAATTTAAACTAACTTTCACACCAGTATGAAGTAGAGCTGTGCGCCGCCACCACCGCCAGCCATTTTCGTTCACGCCGTTCACGCCGCCGCAGTAGTAGTTCCGAGACAGACCACGCCACTGCGCCACCGCACTTTGCGGCGTGCCGCCGTTTATCTTATTTTCATCTTAGCGAGCAATCTGGGCATAAAATACATTACTTCACCTTCTTCTCTGCAGCTTTACGATTTCTAAGCGCGGCATTGTCGGTGTCGTGAGTGCCCTCTTGTTTGCGTGTTTACATGCGCTGTGTGAGAGCCCTCAAACGGCTTTTGAAGAGACACATTCGAGCTTGTTATCCTCTCTTGAACATTCTCGTTCTTTTGGTGCCCTTCGCGACACCAGCACAGTGATTTGCGTGACGTGACTAGGGCATATACTATATAATGGTCTATACGCGACAAATATAAGTTGTAAATTGTTTTCTACCCTCCTTTGCAATGCAATCACCGCCCCCCCCCCCCGTACTTCCTCGCGTCTCCTAGGGTCATCCTGAGTGATGAACTTTTGATTTCGCTGCAGTTTGTGAGTTTCCAACTGCGCAAGTGGAAATAAGAAGAGTGTAGCCAGGAAGCTCGAAATCCTGATCGGCTCAACGCTTAGCGCTCACATTGCACACATGTTTGTGAAGACATAAATGTGGAAGAGCCTGTAAAAATTGCATTGAAGAGATTATGGTGCAGTGTAATTTAGAATGAAACCAAAAGAAAATTCTCGGAAATATTTCATTCACCGAACGGGCGAATTCTTCACAGCGAAGACAACGCAGCTAGAAAGGCGAGGCCACTTCGACGGTTCTTGTTTATTTTTTGATTGCGAGAACTATATAAACACTCTGCAGGCTTTGATCATCCCTGTCATGTTCCATATAAATTCCAAACAAATTACTTTTGTACGCACAGTGTATGCTGTTCTCGCGAATAAAATCTCATGAGCGCTGTAGCGAGAAACACTGCTGAAGCATTGATGAAACAAGCTGCTCATGTCGACCGCACGGAGGGCGCATGCGTTAACATCACTTCGCATGCGATGCCTACCGCCGATTGTTCTTCAACTGGAAAGGAAGCCCTGTCTGCATGCCTTTTGCTGGACGAAGGAGTATGAAAGGACACACAGGTAGGAGGCTGCGTGGCTCGATTCGCTTCTGTGAACTTTGACCATAAGGTCATAGTCTCGAGTTCTGGCACACGCTAGCGCGTTCGTTATTTAAGTAGGCATCAGCAAACAGCTCGCTTACCCTTCTACACGCTATGTTATTAGTTATTACCGTACAAACCTTGCTTTTTTCCCGGGAGCAGCCATATTCCCATACACTAGCGTTTTACAGTTTCGCGAGTTCAGATGAAAAAGTTAGCTGCAGCATACGTTCATTATGAAGCTGCAACTTCCTATCACACGGTGTAAAATGTGAAGTTTCCGAAGGCTTTTCTGACCATATAACCGAGTTGCCTAAAACTTAGCGTGTTCTCTCCCCAAAGACCTGAGATCGAAACAGTTTTGAACTTTCTCAAAGTTGGTGGCACTTCCATTCGGAACATTTTAGCGTCATCATTTGAGGAATTTGAATGCTGTAGTGAATTTCGCAATGTACATGGGCTCCTTATTACGTTTCCTGATAATGATTATCAAAGTGAGTCACACAAATATTTTCATTGTAACCCTAGGCACCCATGCTACCATGAAGATTTAAAATATCTCACTCGTCGCATAAAGCGCTTAGATAAGAATCGTCATTCCAGGTTGATCATTATAAAATAATTCATAAACTAGTGCATTGAAAAGTAAATGAAGAATTGCTACCTTAGCAATACGTGCGCTACATTTATGAAAAATAAATCCATAGAGGTCCTAGAAGTCAATTACTCCTGCATCATCTATGCCCTCATTGTTTATTCTTAATGGCCAATCCTCCACAGATCCAGAAGCTATACCAAATGCCATTATAATTACTTCATGTGTCTTTTTTTTCTCTACCACTGACGGCATCACTCTCATGTTCTGCGTGCAGCAGACTACCTGCTCGTTTTATTCTTGGATTGAGCTCCTGTTCTGAATCTGAATTGAGCCGCCATCACCAACGTTCCGCCACCCACCGACAAAAAGGCAGTGTGCCGATCCTTCGGCTTGTGGGCCTATTACGGACGCTTCGTCAAAAATTTTTCTCAGGTCACCAAGCCACTGACAGCGATCACGAAGACTGACATCCCATTCAAATGGGAAGATTGAATTAAATCTGGTGTATGCTTTGCGAAAAAATGTGCAATATTACCACTCCGATCACAGCGTTTATCCACGCCCATGCAACAGTCTAAGAAAAAAGGAGGAGCTGTGCCCGGCGTCCCTGAAACGTTTCGATCCCGCCTTTTCTGGCAGTTGTTCACACTGTAGGGAAAAGTGTTCAGACATCCACCATATGGTGCGGTCCTGCCCTTGCAACTTTGCTGTACCACCTATCCCCAACCCGAACCTGGAGGTGTGGGAGGCGACCCTGCTTGGCTCTTCTAACCTTCAGGCCCAAACGGCCTTCGTAGGACCAGCCCAGGCAGCAGCTAACGCCGATGGGGTCCCGTACTAGGGATCCACACCTACTGGTTGTGGGGGCCGTTCTCTTATGAGGTGGTTGCTGTATGCCTCTGTTGTTTTTTTAGGAGCGAAGCTCCTTAAGGCGTGGGCTGTGCGTCCCCTGTATGTAGCCACCTCTCGTTCAGTTCTTGCAGTGTTCACTAGATGGCGGTACTTGTAGCTGACGGCATTAAGTATTACGCTAGCCACCGCCCGATCTAAAGGGTACAGCCATATCCATCCGTCCATCCATCCATCCATCCGTCCGTCCGTCCGTCCGTCCAAAAGATGCAAGATGTTATAAACTAGACGGCGGTACGTGTAGTTGATTATGAAAGATGCGAGGTGTTATAAAATAGGAATGATGCCACATATGGCGCGTGTCATCGTTCGATATAGTGCGGCGACGTACGCTAGGGGGAGCGTTGCAATAAAGTCGAGTGGGCAAAATGTACGGAGGATTCATGGTTTACCAGGTTTACCTCCGGAGCTTCGCCCACTCATCATCATTCACTTCGTGGATGTGGCGGCACTTTTTCTTAATAAATACTTTATCCCTGTAAGGAGGAAGAACATACGCATCATATTGCGTCATCTTTTTAGCTAGATGCATAGAGCGTGAGCTTGTGGCCTCTAGCGATGTGCTTTCTGCGTCGCTTGTCGCCGCCCGCTTTCAGTATCAATAGAACTGCAGTTCAAGTCCTACCTACGCCAATAAACCCTGTTTCAGAGTGATAGAGGAGCCGGGGTAGCTCAACCTGGAACTCCGCAACTGAAAACTACCTGCCACCCCAGAAGTGGCTGACGAAAACACCCAGCTAGGTACGACCCAGCTTCCGATGGCGATCGTGCCCACTGCGCTAGGCATGCGCAATCCACCTTTTTTCCGACTGTACCGACGAGCAAGACGTCGATGATTGGTTGTAGACATTTGTAAAGGTAGCCATGAGCAACAGGTGGGATGACCCTTCGAAGCTGCAATATGTTCCGTTTTACCTGAGAAAGGTAGCGAGTCTCTGGGTTATCAACCAGTTCTCAGAATTCGCCACTTGGGTTCTTTTAAACTACGCATCGCCGATGTGTTCAGTGGCCCAAAGTACGCAAGCTCCGTGCCGAACAGCGTCTACGGGGACGCGCGCGAATTCAGAATGAAGGCTTCGCAACCTACATCGAGGACGTGCTCGACTTGTGAAAGCACCTTGACCGTTAAATAACAGAAGCAGACAAGATCAAACACATCTTGAAGAGAACAGATGACGACGCCTTCCGGATGTGGCTGGCCAAGGGCCCACGGACCGTGTTCAAAATCGTCATGCTTTGCCAGAGCTTTGAGGAGTAGGGTAAACAATGAGTCACGACATGGCGGCCAGCGGCTACCGACGAAACTTTCGTGGCGTTGACCCTTGGTGGAGACCACCACACGCTAATATCGGAATTCAAACGATACCTACGTGAGGAGGTGGCCCGACAACTTTCCCGCCGGTCGAATATACCGAAAACGGAACTTACTTCTGAAGGCCTCGCACCCGTCATCAGACAGGTAATACAGACGCAGGTCGCTGAGGCACTGCGGTCCTCCTCTCAGACAACACCAGTCCCCGCACCATTGACTTACGCTCATGTTGCTGCTACTACGCCTCTACCTCTACCCTTGTCGACTTCTCAACCGGTTCGAGTACCAGTGACGCCTAGTACACCGCAGTCTTCGGGCAACCCCTGGCGCTCAGCTGATAACCGTCCCATTGGCTACGCGTTCAGATACCCAGACATTGTCACGTGCTCCTGTCGACGGCTCTTCACAGCGACCCCACTGGCAGCAAGATATTCCTACTACTGTTTGCGGACCCCGTATCACGCGTGATGAGACTGACCGCCACAACATGACCAACTACTAAGTGAACGTGAAACGCTACCACACAAACGAGGCCGTCAACCTGCTACCTATAACGAACCATTCCCACCTCGTCACTTATTTTTCCAGCCGCAGTTCTCTGTCACCTCTGCGTCACTGGCCGGGACCGGAAAACTGACTACCACCGCTCCGGAGGCATGAGCTGCGTCGTCGTCACAGTGTGCAAGTCCTCGCCTGTCCCCCGCGAATGTTCTGGAAGTGTTTGTCAAAGGTTTACGAACTTTTGCATTTGTTTATGCCGGAGCTGGCATTTCTGTCATGAGCCGAAAACTTTGCCTCTCTCTACGAAAATCATGACGCCACCATCCAAATTTTCGCTTAGTACAGCGAGCGCGCAACAAATTTGGCCAGCGGGAGCATGTACGGCCAGAGTCACCATTTAGAACATCTTGTACCACATAGACGTTCTAGTGGAAACCGCGTGTTCGCATGACGTAATACTCAAATGGGACTTGTTGCCGCGTCACCACGCCATAATTGACTGCGCCCGCACTCAGGTGGAACTTTCTGTGTTGGCCGATGCCCCGTCTGCCGACAACGACTGAACTAGCGTTGGCAACCTTCGTGTGGCCACTGACACTGACTTTCCTCCTCTCAGGAACGTCATTGCTCGTGTCGACCACACCGACTTATCTGGCCCCACTGTTATGTTCATGCCATCAGCCACGGCACCTCTCGGCCATATGCCATTCTGCCACCCAATCAAGATGCAAATGCAATATTTCCTTGCAATCCCAGAATATGTACAGGGCACGATAGATCCTAGATCTCTCGTGCCTATTGAATCCCATGACACTGACCCAAACCTTCAGCTGGTTGCTGTAACTCCTAGTTTCTCCCCGGATAACGTCTCTCCGGATGTATTACCCCGCTCCATCGACAGCGAGCTGCCTCAGGATCATGGGCACAGCTTACGGAGCTTCTTCATAAGTTTAGACATTCATTCGACTTTCCGCAGAAGCCGCTGAGTCAAACCAACACCGTCACTCAAAGTATCGACATGGGAATGAATACTTTGTGACAACGCCCCTACCGCGTATCAGCAACAGATCGTAATATCATTGCGGAGCAAGTGAAGGACATGATTCGCCACGATGTTGTCATGCCCTCCTCACGTCCCTGGTCTTCGCCTGTAGTTATCGTCATAAAAAAAATGATTCGATTAGATTTTGTGTGTATTACGGACGCCTGAACAAGATTACGCCGAAAGATGTCTACCCTCCTCCCCGCATTGATGACGCCATCAATTGCCTGCAAGAGGCCGAATACTTTTCGTCATTGTATTTACGTTCGGGATATTGGCAGGTGTCGTTCACAGACTGTGATGGTTCTAAAACAGCGTTGGTCATGCTAGATAGCTTATACGAATTCACAGTAATACCATTTGATCTGTGCAATGCGCCAGCAAATTCATTCTTGTGTAGTATACCTTGTTATTACATTCGTAAAGCTGTGTTTTATTATTATTTTTCTATTTGCGATGCTATACGTAAGGATCACTCAATACTAATTATGGCTCTATTATGTATTTCCTGTATAAGATATTCGGTCACACAGAAAACACATGACAACTTGAGTGAATAACAACCGTGCTAATGAAAACATTTCACGCATCCAGGTGGACTGAAAACTCGTATTGAATCGTTAGAGTTCGCAAGCAGCAGCTATATGTGCGGAATCTTTTATGTGAGACCTGCGAACGGTACGTATAATGGGAAATCTTGACTTTACTTTATGGCCTTTGCATGTATACAACCAATTGTGTTATATTTTACACATGAATGAAATAAACTGGCGTTCACAATTGCTTTAGAACAAAAGATATGAAACAGTAGATGACGCGAGATATAATGTATGGTCTAGTGCGTGATACCTATATAACGTTGTGTTTGCAACAAAAATGTGCATTTTTATTTCGACTAGTTTAGACATCGGTAAAAAAAAACACTGCAAAATCATCGGTCAAAAAAGCACTGCTAAAACAAGCATTGACGCTGTCGCAAATGAAAGAGAATGATGGTTTTATAGAACACATGATTATAATGTTGAAGTTGACTGATATGATTGATATGTAAAGTATAACGCCCAAAGCCACCAAATGATAATGAGAGACGCCGTCGTGGAGGGCTTCGAAAATTTTTACCACCCGAGGTTCATTTACAAGCACCCAAATCTAAGCACATAGGCTTATAGCATTTTCACCTCCATCGGTAATCCAGCGGCCGCAGCCGGGGTTCCATCCCGTGACCTCCGGGTCAGCAGCTGAGTACCTTAGCCACCAGACCACCGTGGTGGGGCTATAAAGCTGAAGTTATAGAGGTCTGACGAGGAATAGCAGAAGCCAGCCACATCATTCCACTGGTGGAATATATCCCCCCCCCCCCCCCCCCCTCAAAAAAAAAAAAAACCTATAACCTTATTTAGAAGTCGTCAAAATGATACATTGGCGCGATTTTGCAGCGAATGCTGCTGTGAGATTACAACGGCATCCGATTAGCAACGCAACGCCGAATTGCTATGTAACAACGTTCAGATGGTCGCACCAACTGACAGCTAGTTTCAGTGGTTTCTGCATATTTTTTCTGGTGGAGCCTACGTGCAGCATTCGTCTAATAGATGCTACTAGTGCTTCGTGCATAGCAATACCCCCATGAAAAAAAAAACTGCGACAAACTATCCGACTGGGGAATCAAACCTTGCGATTATGATAGGCTACAAAGCAGGTACGTAGGCAAGTAGGCCAAGGGCTTCTCACCCCACCTCGAAATTTGTCCAGTTGACCAATAACGCCAGAGTATAGAGATACAAGTATAGTGGCATGCGCATATAAACAAATGAGAAGCAAACGCTATTTATTGAACGGAAAAAGTTTTAGTACAGAATAAAAAGGAAATAAGAGAGGCTAGTGGGCATAGGAGCCCTAGTGCAGGGCTTTACTGGACTCAGTAGCACGCCGTGCCTGGTCCAAGAGCGCCACGTGGGCCACTTTTTCCTTGCTGGCGACCGAGGTCTGTTACTGCTCAGTCTTTTGTTTCTGCGGCGGAATCTGATGCGTGATAGTTTGGACGGGCCAACTAAACGAAAATGGCTACCGATTAAGCATTATTCGCAAAGTATGGCGACGCTCGCTAAGAAATTCAGTCCCCTGCCCTTCAATCAAAAACACAACAGAAACCCCACTCATATGTCTGAGGCGTCAGCGAAACCATTGCCCGTACAGGAAAAAACACATCTGAGTTACTAACAAGCCTACGACCGCATGCTCTTTACATATTGCCGAAAACCGCCCAATGAGGGATCCCAAGTGACGTTTTACGCGGAGAGCTTGGATATGGGAACTTCACTATGAAATGCGATGGCTTAGACGACCTAACTACCCGTTCGACCCCAATCGCTTTTATTCAAACTGACGGCACTTTGTCTCCTGCCTCTGTTTTCAGGCAGGTGCCCACGTGGTGAAAAGGGTGAACAGTGTAAACCATTTGCTACAGTTGGGACACCCGCCGGTTCAATGAGTGTTTATGCCACTCTCAAGTTATTCGTCTATTGCGCACCGGTGGAAGCGCCATACTGGGCGAACTTGCTCAGCACCCTCGGGAAAAAAAAGCGTCCGACGACCGTTGTTATTTACGTCGTTGTACGTGTGGTGCCGCGTTGTTTGCGGTGCCGTTTCCGTTAGAAAATAGCAGCGTCCCTCATTGTGCGGTGGCTGAAACAGATGTCTGATAATTGCTCTGGAGTGGGGTACTCAACACCTACGAAAACTCGCCCGCAACATGCGTTTACTCATTTACCACAAGGCTTTACGAGAAAGAGCCACGGAAGCAATGGATCGCCGCCATGCGTTGGGACCGAGGAGCCGCTCCAACATTGTTCCAGTTCATGCGTCGCTTTTTGTTCTCAAACTTTCGTTTTGCCGTATCGGCACCGATTGGATGCACTCGATCATGGTGACAATGGTAAAATGTCATTCAGCTAAATACGCCAATATTGTGAAATAAGCTGTGTGGAACGTCATGATTCAGTCACATAGTTTGGAGAAGCACTTTCCCAGACAGTTCGCTCAGTTCGCTCACTTGAAAAGTTCGTGGACACCTCCGGTAACGAAGCGACAGCGCCCACCGCTCCATTCCTCCATCAGCGAATCTGTTTCCCGAAGTTTCTTATATGCGATCGCTGTTGGACATTCCTCGGCTTCACACACCACTTCTCTGTGTATCTGCAGAGCCCATATATTGACATGAGCGCCGCCTTGGAGCAGGTTGACCTGGTCACGGCCGCTGACTGGGTGCTGACAAAGCCGGAACAGATGGAAACTAACGCGGAGGCAGAATTCCACAAACTATTTTCTCTATGCCAAGACCAACCGGCACAGTTTGGACTAAAGTGCGATATTCTACGGGAGGTATGAACACAGAGATACCTGGACAACTACGATTGTTCTCCTACAAATGAGTATTTCAGGCGACTCATGTTCGTTCCATTCGAAGATTACCCGAAAGCTTCCCTGAAATGGCGCTTTGAAAACTCTCCCAGAAAACTGCAAAATTTGCGACTGTTATGCCAAATCACGCCTCTAAGGACACCTTTCAACCCGTACTGCTGGTGTTCTATTTTTACTGGAGAGATATGAGAACAATTTTTACCCTTACATTCAAAGGTCAATCGGAAATCTGAAAAACTAAATGGCAAGCCATGCAAGAGGGCGAATTTCTCCGCTTTGTGACGGATGCCTTCGCTGAATGCGACAAAGCTTTCTTCCTGAAATTTTTCATGTTCCTTAAGATATTGGCAACGCTACTAGTGAGTACAACTGCTGCATAGTGCAGCTTCTCGACACGGAAAAGAGTGAAAACGTATTCGAGTAACCAGTAGGCTTAGGAGCGGCTTGATGGTCTCGCCATAATGTCTATTCACCGGATACAAGTAAGTGCTGACGGAGTTATGGCTGTGTTTGTGGAGAAACCGCGACGCATGAAAACGGCAGCATGGACCGTTTTTTACGGCCAGTCTACATGTTCGTTTTTTTAGATGCAAAGCAGCTAGCCTGTGTAGCACTGTCCATCTATGTCTCCGTGCCAAAGCACATAACCACGTTCCCCCCATCACAGTCGTTAGAACGATGCCAAGTAGGTCAAGTCGCAGATGCGCGTTGACGTCACTCTCTCTCTCTCTCATCCGCAGCAGCTGCCGGCTCCTCCCAACACGCCTAGGTGGTGTTGCTCTTCCACCCGCCACACACTTCTCTCTCGTTGCACCCTCTCCACAGCTCGCAGCGCTCGACCATACGTACGTCGAGTGGAAACACTCTTTCGGCTCGTGTATCTGCAATAAAACGCACATGGAATTCAACCCGACTCCCGCAGATTTGCGTCACAAAGAAACGTTTACTCGAGTAAATGCTACACTGAGTCACTTCAAACAGTTCTTCCAGCGCCCGCGTCGACGCCCGTTTCAACCGGGTCAACGCCGTGCGCACCGCTGCTGCTTCGCATTCCATCAAGGTTCCCTTCGGGGAGATGTTTCATAATGTTTTTTCATTGACTTTTACTATTTGGTAAAACCATTGCCAATGTCATTGTTTAAGATTACTTCCTAAAATTAATGTTAACGCTCTGCCTCTTTCGTGTCAGGGAAGGATCCGTGTTGTAGTTCTTTGTTGTCGGTTTGAACCGTTTTCCCGAACGTGTTTGTAGTTTGCTTAAAATTATCTGCCATAAAATAGCTGATGTTCTCGCTGGCCTGTTGTCAAAAGTGTGATAATGTCGGCAGAGACAGCGTCTGATATTCTTTTTTTTTTGCCGCACATGTGTAAGCGGACTACCAGTATACCCTTGCATCTGCCCCCCCCCCGTTTTTTTCTCACTCGTATTTCCATTACTGACACCGTATGGGCCTTCTTGGTTGAAAGTATCTGGTAGGATTTGATGATTTGTGGGGTTTAACGTCCCAAAACCACCATTTGATTATGAGAGACGCCGTAGTGGAGGGCTCCGGAAATTTTGACCACCTGGGGTTCTTTAACGTGCGCCCAAATCTGGGCACACGGGCCTACGACATTTCCGCCTCCATCGGAAATGCAGTATCTGGTAGGAGAACATTCTTTTTGTTGCACACGCACTAGCATTACTGCAATGTCAAAATTCGCTTTACATCACTCATTAACTAATCTCTTGTGCCGCATTACACTTTGTTCTCACTTTCTTCTAATCACTAAGCCCCTTTTTTACTCCCGGGAAACTTTCTATTTGCTGTGAAAATAGCTTCTTTCGAACAACTAGGCCTTGGGCCCCCCGAAAACATTCTTGGCTGCGTTTCTGCTACAAAGTATGAAACAAAAAGGCATGTCAGTGCTTAAAACATTTTCTGTAGAAAAATCTATACAGGTGTCATATCGAACGAGGAGTAATGTTAGCTTACGTAATATTTTGAGGTATAAGCGCGAAATTACATGAAGCCTGACATCATGTGAACTTCACAACGATTCAGTAGTTAAAAATTCTCGTAATATACAAAGGGGCTCAGCCATATTTGATTATCTGCGACCGCACAAACAAAATGACCCCTGAATAAGTCCCCGCGTTGCCTCAGCTGACGACTGAAGTGGAAGAGACTTGTCTGTAGGTTGCTCGGTTCACGCGTAAACTTTACACGGTGGTGAAAACAAATCGCAAAAGCAGGAACACGGTTATAAGCCTTGTGCTGAGATGTGCATAGATTTTTTTACAACTGCCACCATATAGATGTGGAAGTCATCTAGTGCTGAGAAGCAGAAGCTTAACTATTGACTACTACGGCACCGGAGCTAAATATGACAAAATTATGGACCGTCTCCCCGACAAGAACCCTGATGGCATGCCAAGCAGCAGTGGTGCGCGCGGCATTGACCCGGTAGAAACAGGCGTCGACGCGGGTGATGGAAGAACGTCTTGAAGCGAAACTTGGTGTAGCATTTACTCGAGTAAGCGTTTGTTTTAAACGCAAAGACAACTGAGGTGGGTTAGGTTTCGTGGAAGTTTCCTCGTAGACAAATGAGCCTAAAGAGGCTATCCGCCCGACCAGCAGTGGAGCGTTGCGGGTGGTGGAGAGCGTGACACGAGAGAGAAGTGTGTTGCGAGCTGGTGGAGGAGCCGGGAGCTGCGGGCGCTGCGGCGGGCGTGCTGCGGATGATGGAAAGAGTGACGTCAACACGCACCTTCGAAAGAAGTGTGCGAGGAGAGCAAGACGCTGACGCGCAGCTGCGAAGTAACCTAATTGACACCGCTAGAATACCTGTGGCGACGAGAACGCCCTGCGGCGCTTCGTATGGACGCACGTACTTACGGCGTTACACATTTCAGTCAAAGAGGGGCTTCACCCCTAATCTATTTTCTCTCCCCCATTCCCCTCCCATGTGCAGGGTAGCAAACCAGCTGCCTATAGGCTGGTTCCCCTCCCTGTTATTCTTTTCCTCCTATTTTCCTTCCTTCCTTGCAAAGGGGCTGATCATTCTTGTGCAGCTCAAAATATTGTCACGCGATCGTGACGTTGTCGAACGCAGCAATCGACGTGTTCATGAGGAAACCTTATTTAGGCAAACTTGTGCCCGGACACCATAGCTAAAATTACAGAAATACATACTGTACACTGATAGCAGACAGCGTTGGTCTTCGATGACCAGCCAAATGGTGAAGCGTGGCAGCGTTCATACATTTACCATCGACGATTCTAGCGTTTTCGCAAGCGACCGCCAAAATTTAAGAACAAACACTAACGTGTTTTGCGCAAGGCAGAAGTTACGCGCGTATTGTCAGGTTAAGATAGAAATAAAGGAACACGTGCGGTAATTTTTTAGGGCAAATTGGTTGCTGTTGCTGAAACAATGCACCATAAACACTACTTCAGCAAAGACATGTTTCACTTTCGTGTCAAACCTATTTTTATACAGGGGGATGAGCCACATTTTTTTTGTTATCGTGGTTTTACTTGTCCTTTCGAGTCTGCACCTAATAATTGTGTTCATTTTTTCTCATTCTTGGCCGAATCATCCTTGTGGTCCGAATTCTCGACGGATAACCACCCAGGTTTCGGTAAGAATTTTACATTTATTTAAATTATGATCTTGAACCTGCAATGCTCGCATATATTTAAATCAATTACGCTTACTTTGCAGCCACACATGCAGATATACTCTCGTATGAGGTTACAACAAATTGAAAGCGTGACCGTAGAGACCAAATACATAAGGACTTCAATATCTTTGTAAAATCGGATTTTATGAGCTCATAAAATTTGAGTGTCAACATTCATAACGCAGGCAGTGTGAACTGAATCCTAAGTTGAAAGAAATTATCCTCATACATGTTTCCCGCCCTTCCAGGTTGAACATCTTGTACATTTGATTTACCTAATTCACTAATATTTGAAATTCACACATCCAGGTCATCGTGGCTGGCGTGACCTTAGGTTTAAAGACCCAAACAAGAGAAAAGTGCCGGAGCAGGAATGCTTGGACAGATTTCATGGAGTGGCTCGCAAGACCAGCATTGTATACTACGATTTCTGTTCCGACCCAAAGTGATGTACGGAGCGGCACTACCGTGAAGACACTGTGTACCAAGTCGTCCTGGCATATCCGACCTTATCACCAGGAATTAAAACGGAGCTTAATTTTAAGCGGATTAAAAAGTCACGTGTACACCACATCCTGAAGCCACTGCTGTGAGATACATTATCTTTTAGCATTTTGGTCGGTTTTATTAGTTTGTCGCTAGAAATTCATTTTTTGCTTTTATTGCTTACTCCCGTCTATAAAAAAAATCAACTCGCTAAGGGTAATTAAGTTAGCTGAAGAGTTGAAAATGACACTAAAACACACCAACCCCTAAATAATATCGACTATTTGAATTTTTCACACACGCATAAGTAACGGCTCGAATATTGCAGATGCAATTCTGGGGTCATGAACAGGTGGTTCCAGTCCATTAGCCAGCCGAACATCACTTGCAGGAACATTTCTAGCTCCTTTTATCACCACCACATCGCCATGCCAACACCGCAAAATGTTTTTCAGTGCAACGATTATTTACGGAAGGAAAGACTTCCCGAGCCATTGTGCGTTAACTCCATAAAAAAATATTGTTCAACTTTCATACATGCTAGTTAGTTTGCATTAAAAATTCTGCATACGAGAATGCTGCACATAGGACGCATGTTAGGCGATTACGCCGAATTCTACACACTCTGAAAATTTTGACCCTGAATATATTTTAGAGGTGCCCAAATATTCAAACACTGAACAATTTCGGGTATCGAATTGAATGCATGTATTCGACTCAGAAAGCGTTATTCATAACGCTTAATATTTTAATAGTTTACTATAGTGCGCAAGTATTAGGTGTATTCAATAAAAAAATAAAGTGGGCAAAAGTATGATATATTTCATTCGTGCTGGCACATTATATGCAAAACCCTGAAAGCTTGTGTAGTGCAGCTATTTACTTCGTCATACGAAAATGACTACCATTTATGCAATAATCATTTACCCTTTTTTACCCGTTTTTTAGGTTTGCAGGGCCTCACTATTTATCTTTGATGCGGTGTTTACGCATTTAGAATTTCTAGTATATTTAGCTGCACCTTCAAGGGATCTACTAATGTGCTAGGGTTGGGGCTTGGGCTTGTTGCATCATGCTTACAACAGAGAAATAACAGCGCTAATCTGTGACGTGACACAGAGCAAGTTGTCATGCATTCTTCATTTGTCTCCTCTCAAAATTTCGCACTGTTTCCATGTTATAACGCTCCAACAACTTTCGTTTTAGGTCCGTTGAAGGTTTAGGATATGATAGAAACAACTAACATGATATACATTTATAGGAAATAATCCTTGGGGCTTCGGGTCTTGGCTTGTAGTTCCAAAAAGACCACTTGTTTTTGTTTTTTAATAGGTAGCTTGGGAAAAGCGTTTGGCTCAAGTAAACCGTGATAGTCACAGAATAATCAATAATATTTCCAGTTTTAAACAAATACATATAGTGATCGTGCCCACACTCGAACGAGAATCGCGGTGAGGCAGGAATTTCGTCTTGGAACACAGCATGTGTGCACAAAAAGGTGCGTTTATGAAAAAGACATCGCTTATTTCTCATTTTATAATATGGGAGTTCATGATGCCTACCAAATACACACGGTGATAAATCTAAACCATCTTCATCTGATGTCTTGTATAGCCATGTATTCGGATTAAGCACATATATACCATTAATGGGAGTAACTTTTAAGGGCCAAACTTTCAGGGCCGTGCCTTGTTGGCGTCCGTCACTGTCTACAAAACTGAAACAGTAACTGAACACATGCACAATAAAAAAGGAGGACATCTGTGTAAGAAATTCGACTTTATGTGTACTTCAGTCAAGTGGATGACAAAGATCAAGAGCATGATATGATCATCTATGCCGTCTGTCCATCCGTCCATGCGTCAGTCTATTCATCTGTCTGTCCGCCCATACCTTGATTTGCCCAGAATTCCATGAGATGATTCTGAAATCTTGTAGGACGGAAATTGCCAACACGAGCTTTGTGGTCACATGTTTATTGTTTTGCTCTTTATTTAAATAGTGCAAGATTTTCCGAAGCAAGCATTTGATGGTACATATTTATCAGCTGTTCATTTTCTCCGTCACTTAGTCTGCTAAGTAATGCTTTGAGACAGTACATGCCTAATATAAATTTGTGTCTTTCAACATGTTTCACATAGAACAATGCAACCTTGCAGGCAGTGAAACATGTTCTACTTTAAAACATTTGACAACCACAGTGGTCTATTCTTACAATTCGGTCTCGTCATTTATATACACAATACCGAAAGAGCAATGCAATACTAAAATGTACATAATAACAAGAGCAGGAACAGTGAGAAAAATTTGCCATATGCATACAAGAACAGCTTCCTTAAGACAACAGCTTTAGCTTGTCAGCTGAGCAGTCATAACCAATGTCCCCCCAAAAATTACGCCTATGTTTTCGAAGGGCTAACTTCAGTTTCATTGCATGACGTCTTTTTGTCTGCAGTCGGTTAGCATGTGTCACTTGACCTTTGAGGCTGAAAAATCATGCGATAACTTTTGCAGTTTTGGCATATTCCGTGGTCAGATCACATAGATCATTCAGCAAACATATTGCGCTGTTTTTTTTTTCAAATGCCTATGAAAAGCGTACACGAGCATTTCTGCGCACCAGTCACAGTGCACAAAACGCATATACGCACTGACACGTCTCACTTCATCTCGTTTCTGAAAACGACCACCAAATTTAGATACCTTTTTAGGTCAGTACAAGCTTTGAAATACTTTCGAGCAATGGGAGGCACAGCTCGCCAGCTCTGACCCAGAGGTGCAGCTTGCTCTTCTGCGTCACGTCAAACTGGCGGCGGCAGCCAGTGGACCCCCGGACTTGGGGCCTCACCCATCAAGCTCATGACCCTTGTCCCAAACCCTTGCAAATAAAGTTTTTCCTTCCTTCCTTTTCCTTCCCTTTTTTAAATAGTCTGAAAAACAATGATAACGCTAACTAAACGCACCACCACACTCCGCTGACTCGACTTCACAACAAACCAGAGGTGCGTTGGGGGCAGACCACTTGCACAGACGCACCTAGCATCGCTTAAAACGAAAGGTTAAGCGTTTCTCGCTTAATGCTGTGCTGTTATTTCTATAAATAAATAATGCGTACTTTTGAAAGAACATGATGATGTGTGGCGCTTTATGGCGCAAGGGCCAATTGATGGCCAAAGAGCGCCATTTCAATGAGTAGAGATGTGGACAATGATATGTTGCGTGGCTGTATAGGGGCCTTAAAATTCCTCGCGATAATGCGGGTAAAAACATAAGTATAAAAAGCATGACAGTTGCGTGATATGCATAGTAAAAAGGGGGACAAAGGTTTTGATAATAAAAATGCGTAAAAATATTTGGCACTAGCACAAGTGCCTCATCAGCGCCCTTGTGTCCAAGGGCTGTGAGGCAAGTGCTTTTAAATGTAGTCACTGCAGCAGCAACCTCTCTTAAGAGGTCGCGCTACGCAGTGCCTGGGTATATTACATGGTAAAAACCGACATCTCTTAAGCTAGCAATGGTTTATGTGTGAAAAGTGGTTCCCTACCGACAAACATTGTGGGGTGTAATGGTATATGTTGTCGGTAGGGTAATGGAAAGTGTTGTCTTCTTAGAGGGTCTAATTGTTTACACTGGATTAAAACGTGAAAAACTGTTAATGCCTCACCACATTTGTCACACAATGGTGGATCGCCACCGGACAAAAGCTATGAGTGTGTCGTGTATGTGTGTCCTATCCTGAGCCTTGTTAGTGTCACCTCTGTTAGACGTGATTTTGATACTGGTGGCCAATGGCCAAGGTGTGGCTTGATAACGTGTAGCTTGTTTTGCGTGTGTCTATCCCACTTGCTCTGCCAGTAGTCCCTGAGCTTTCGTTTGAGAAATGGCTTAAGATCAAGGGCTGGGATTTGTATGGGTGTAGTGGCAGTGCTTTCGTGGACGGATGCAGCAAGCTGATCCGCCCTCACGTTGCCTTGAATCTCACGGTGCCCTGGCACCCAGCACACTACAACATGTTGTTTAAGTGTGTAGAGTGTGCATAAAATAGAGTAAAGTGAGACGAGGACAGGGTTTTTTTTGTTTTTTAAGATTGTGCAGAGCCGTTACCACACTGAGGGAGTCCGTATAAATTACTGCTTTTTGTATTTGTGACTGTTTGATGTGTTTAGCCGCCACAAGTATCGCGTAAGCTTCCGCTGTGAAGATACTTGTGCCTGGATGTAGAGCGCCAGCATCCGAAAAGGATGGGCCAACAGCAGCGTAGGACACGGAGGACTTAGACTTGGAGACATCTGTAAAGAACTCAGGACGTGTGTATTTGTGTTGAAGTTCCAGGAAGTAGTTTCCGATATGGGCAATAGGTGCATGTTTTGTAACTTCTAGGAAAGACACATCGCAGTCTATAATCTGCCACTGCCACGGTGGCGGGTATACTACAGGAGCCATTAAGCTGTGTTGAAGTGACACTCCAGTTTCCTCAGCTAGACCCTTCAGGCTAACTGAGAAGGGCTGCCTCATCGAAGGCCTGTTTTGAAACAGAATATAGCTCGACAAATCATTAATAGTGGAGTAGGAAGGGTGCTTCTTGTCTGCTTTCACCTTAATGAAAATATACAAAGGATATGAAAGTTCTTTGTAGATAAAGTGACCATTCATTTGACTCAACGTAAAGGCTTTCTACAGGGCTGGTGCGAAAAGCACCCGTAGAATGGCGGATGCCAAATGGTGCACGGGATCCAGCATCTTCAAAGCACTTTGAGTCGCAGACTGATAAACAACAGCCCCATAATCTAAGCGGGTGCGAATCAGGCTTCTATAAAGGTTCATGAGACATTTCCTGTCACTACCCCACGTAGTACGTGACAACACTTTTATAACATTCATGGCTTTTAGACATTTTGTTTTTAAATACTTGATGTGTGGTACGAATGTCAACTTGTTGTCCGAGATTAAGCCTAAGAATTTATGCTCCGCATTGACAGACAGACGTTGACCGTTCAATTCAATGTCAGGTTCTGAGTGCACGCCTCTTTTTCGGGAGAACAAGACACACGTGCTTTTTTCAGGGTTCAGCCGGAATCCGTT